ATATATATATATATATATATATATATATATATGTCTTCTTGTGACGGTATGTCTACCACCACATGTGTATAAGTATTCTTGTTTTATTTTTATTTTTCTAAACAAATAACAAGAACGATAAATTTCAGAGAAGGTTTTGTTTTGCACAAACTCTAAGGGGTTGTTTACCAAACACTTACCCGGTAAGCGTTTACCGGTAAACTTTAACACTACCATTTACTTACTGGGTAAGATTTTAGTTCATCAAAACGGTATCGTATGAAACAATTTACCCGGTAAGCTCTTACCATGGTAAGAGTTGTCGCCCTCACTTACCACCAGGTAAGGCTCTTGTCCTTTAATACGCTTTTACTGGGTAAGTTTTTTGGTCCTTACCATATTCATCCGATAAGGTAGTGTGAGTTGGTGTTCACTTACTTGAGTAAGTGTTTGATAAACGGTTCCTAAGTCTGGTTGCACAGACCTTAAGTTTAATTCCACAAATCAGATTTTAGACTTTGAGAACAATTTCAAGAAGGTTTCCAACCTTCCACCACGGAGGGGCTCTTCCCCTTGGAACCCCTCTAGGGGCCCTACACCTAGAACCTTACAAGGAGGTGCGACCCCCTTGACGCCGCCTTATGACAATCTAAGATGATCGGGGGCAATGTTTGTGAGTGAGCATTCCGCACCTCCTAACCTCACTTGTGTTTGCCTTATCACTTTAATTGCTCTCAAGCAATACTGTTGGATTCAAGTATGTGCGTTAATGTTGTATTCAAGTTCTCCTTTTATATTGCTTTGTAATAGTTAGGATTTTACTGTTTTCTTAGTATAAATAGTGTTTAGTTTTCTATTGTCATTAAGTTCTGCAATTAATCAGATTTAGAGCTGTAATCTTTGTAAGAAAATTCTCTCAAGAAATACATTGAAGATTGGTGAAAATTCTCTCTACTCTTGTTCTTGATCTTCATCTTGAAGATTGTTTCTAAACTTGTATGATTTGGGCATTTCAAATACACCAAATGGTTGATGACGCTATAATCACCGATACTTTAAAATAAAGTATTGTGTTAGCTTTTTTACATGACAGTTTTAAGAAATGTTCCATAGACACATCTTTATACAGTACGATTAATTTTAAGTGACACTTTTTCATATAATTTCATATAAACATTTTTGGCGTCCAATATTTAAACTTGTATTACCATATTAGATTAGTTTATGTGTTCCCAAGTTACTTTTGACACCCATGATTGACAAAAAGAAAAAGATTATGGTTAACAGACGTAACGATCTGTCTTCTAAAACACATTTAAGTACCTCTGGTAAATGAACACCAAGTCATTTTACCTTACCGGATGAATATAGTAAAGATCAAGAATCTTACCAGTGTAAGAGCGAGACAAGGACCAAGAGTCTTACCCGGTAAGTGAGGGCGACGACTCTTACCACGGTAAGCGCTTACCGGGTAAATTGTTGCATATGATACCGTTTTGGTGGACAAAAACCTTATCTGACAAGTAAAGGATAGTGTTAAATTTACCGGTAAGCGCTTACAGGTTAAGTGTTTGATAAACGGCCCCTTAATAACGTCATCGTATATATGGTATTCGTACAAGTGTACGTATAGCAGGAGCTGAGTAAGCAGTAGTATGAAACCTGTAATATGAAACCTGTGTGAATAACATAACTTATTATATATTCCCAACAATTCTCGACAGATTCTCACTCTTGTTTTTCAGACCTCCATAGATTCTCTCTCTCTCTCTCTCTCTCTCTCTCTCTCTCTCTCTCTCTTGTTCTTTCTCTCTCATCCACCATTTGTAATTCCCTCCATCTTTTCTTCATCGATTGAAAACCCTAGATATCATATATACAAAAATGGTGGTAGCAACTCCAATTCAGATCGAAAAGATTCGAGAGGTTGATGTTCCGGTGATCGATCTTTCTTGCAAACAATCGAAAGTGGCAAAGCTGATTGTAAAGGCCTGTGAAGAATATGGTTTCTTCAAGGTCATCAACCATGGCGTCCCTCATCACATTATCAAGAACATGGAAGATGAAAGCTTTCAGTTCTTCGATAAACCCTTGCCCGAAAAGATGAAACTGGTTGGATCCGCAGACCCGTTTGGTTATGGCAGCAAGAACATCGGTCTCGGTGGTGATAGAGGAGAGCTCGAATATCTTCTTCTTCAAACCAATCAAAACGCCATTGATGACACCTCTAAGTTTATGAGGTATTTTCATAACTCATTTTACTGTTTATATAATATAATTTTATACATTATTTGAATTATTTCTGCATTTTTTTATAACATTTTTATTGAATTAATCTTTTTACGATTTAACTTTTCATCAACATGTTCTATATATTAAGAAGGCAAAATCACGTCATACTATGTTACCAAGCATACTATGTATTGACTTCGGACTATCTGTAAAGCAGGTGGTCGTCCTGAGATTAGTCGGCTCACATAGCAAATTGGATATCCAGGTTAATAGAAAAAACATACATAATTATACGAGTATATAACAAACCGTAAATTTAATAATAATTGAAGATTTTAATTAGGAGACATATATAAACTTTGGGTTATTTATATAGGAAATGGTGTAAACCAATCAGTATTTAATTAACTGTTTTAATTATTCAAAACTCTTAACAAAATGTTAAATTTTATATTTATATTTTTTTTCATGCATATATACACACATTATATAATATATTAGAACGGTACTCGTGTAATTTAATGAGATTGATTTTAATATTTTATTTTATTTTTTATCTCAGTCGATGTTATATTATGGTCTTATGTGATTTTGAAAAAATTATTATGTTTTTATTTTTAAATAAAATATAAATTTGAAGAGATCATAACAATTTGACAAAAATATATCGATATTATTATCAAATTAACTATTTAAAATTCATATTTTTTGTGTAATTTTTTAATTCAATTTTTTTAT